CCTTCAGTTTTTATTGAAACCTTTTTAGATATGTATTGATTCAGTTTGTTGGGCCCCAAGAAGTCTTTGGACACTTAATCCTTACATCTGTGTGAATGATATTGCATAAGCTAGCATCAGTTTGCCACCCTTTAGCTGAACAGTGTCTACACTTGGAATCAGCCAGTTTTTGTAGCTACGGTGAAGTTCCTTCGTATTTCTGCCAGCAGAACTTTCAGTTCATCGACACGAGAGCGTTAACAAGCTGACAGTTTGCCCTCTGTGGCTTCTCAAAGGCATTTTATGGGATTTAGGTTAGAGCTCACAGAGATGTGCGACAAACAGATTAATAAGTTAAAAAGGTATGTTGAGTTTTTAGTGTCACAAAAATGGATCTCTGTTAAGATGGCTATGTCACCATGGTAACTGATGCTGCACAGCTAACCTGCTTTGGAGAAGGTTGTGTTCAGAAGTTTCAAATTTGAATTGGTTTTACAAAGCGTCTCTCTTTCACCAGTTGTTTCCCCAATATTCTCTCTGAGCGGTTTCGATTCTCAGCTAAGGAATATCTGCAAACTTGGTGGTCTGTACATTAGTAATGTGCATTTACAGCAGCTAAAGCTTCATACGTGGTGTCGCCACAGGAACCTATGTGCTTAGAAAATGCATCTATAGGCTTTAATGTTTGGTCCTGAAGTCTTTTTTTACACTGCTCACTGATTTGACCAAAAACTACAGCAATCTGTGTATGTCTTTAATTATGGGACAGTTTCAGACATAAACACTCGTCTTGAGTTTCATGTTTAGAAATCTGAAGTTTCAAAGTTCTGATGTGCAGCTTTCATTGTAGAAGTCAGCGGCTGCATTGAGAATTCATTGAGTGGTAAAGTAGATATGTTAATTAACAATTTCCTACCAGCATTCCTCTGCTGTATCATTTATAGTAACAATGCTTTTCACTGTAAATTTGTTTTTTATTCCACATAGCCGTCCATTATAACAGCCTGTTGCGCTTCACTGAAATAGGCGGCATGTGATCGATTTATTTGTTGTGGAAGAAGACTCGCATGATGCGTCAAACGCCTCTTTTCATGTGAGTCTGATGAAGAAAACGTGGTTAACAATGTGAGTTTGATATCCACCGTTGTGATATTCATTATCTCTGATCGGGATTTTGGGTTTTGTCGAGCCAGCCGACACAAAGAAAGCCTGTATGTGTTAAAACTGGTTTCACAATACAACACTTGGATTTCCTCCAGGGTGAAAAGCAGGTGGCTGATTTGCTTTGTGATGTTATCTATTCAATCTATCAAGATCAGCTTCTGTGACTGAAGTAATTGTTTTGCTGTTTTCTTTAAGTGAAGTCTTTAAGATGTACACCACTATAAATAAAACAGACACAGACTTGGACTTGCATACATCCACGCTCTAGTGCAACCTGGTTAAAGTTTTTTTTCCCTGGCTTTTCCTGACCATCAGACCTTGCAAAAGTTTTCTTGGCTTTGTGCATGTTGTATTGCAACTTCCATCCTCGCTGTCTCATTCTTTGAGCTTATCTGCTTAAAGGCAGAAGGAATTTATAACACAAACAGTTACTGAATAGTAGCACAGTTTTTAAAGTTTGTTGATCAGTTCATGGCAACAGCAGCCTGAGTGTGTTCCAGCAGTCCTGGTGGGCAGATCTCTGGCTTTTAAACTTATAAATAAAACCTTCTTTAGAACTTTTAACCTACCTGCTTCAAAACAATTCCATGAGCAGGAATGTGGACATCACGGTTCTCAGGTTCAGTGGTCTTCGTTCACCGTTTATGGTCACAGATCAGTGCTTGTTGCAAACGTCTCCATCACAGCACATTTATCACGGATCTTGATTTTGCACGAGACCTTAAGCTGCTTATGTTCCGGATGAAAGGTTCATTGGGGGATACAGTGAAAGAATGTAAGATTTGTCTGAATGTTTTTCTACACACGGGGTCATATGATGCATCTGTGCTGTCTTTTGTGTGTTTTGACTGTATCCGGTCAACCATTACAAAAACAAAGTTGCATCCAGGAGAAATAAATTTATGTGCCTAAGAGAAATTGACCTTTTTACTGGACTCCTTAATTAAAGTCAATTTAGCCTTTTATTCTAAAATGTACGCACACATAATCTATTAAATAGTGGAGAGGAGTTCCACCTACATTCAGGGTGTTCTGCAGACATAAACCTGAGTCTGTTTTGGTCTGTGTCTTCAGGCTGGAGAGGGCAGAGGAATTTCAACTGTTTCCTGTCACTGTCAGCAGGATCTTACGTTATATACATTAGCCCACAGTGCTGTACAATCAGCTGTACAAATCTACGCCTGGAAGTGTGACGTTTATAAGAGGTTATGTGTATTTTCTTGACAACTCTTGCTGTGGGTTAAAATTAAAGGTGTATTCGCTGAATGGATTTGGATCTGATAATTTGAAAATGTACAATAAATTGATTGTTATGCTGATGCACTTTTCCTGGTCACCTATATTATAATAAAAAGGGTTTCACATGCAAAAAGAAATTTGCAGCATATTAATATCATATTAATTTTCATGATTTAATAGACCAGTGCTACGTTGTGATGAACAGCATTATTTTGTTTATTTCATTTTTTAATCATCAGTTTCTGCTTTGTTTCCCTCTTTCATAGTTATTTACTTGTCAGTGCACGTCATACTGGACTAAGTGTAGGAATACTGCGTGGTCCCCCCATGCTGTGTGTGTCAGCGGCCTGGCATGTCTTTAACGGGCTCAGTGTACCAGAGGGGTGACATATATCATGAGACTAGCAATTAAATGTTCATGAAATACTACATTGTTGGGTTTGTTGGGTTTCTCTCTCTAAGATAATGCGTGAAGTGGCCTGAAAGGACCTCTGTTGTGAAATGGAGCTATAATAGTTAACATAATGAGAATTAACTGAATTAAAGTACTGTGATATTAACCAGTTGAGCTGTACCACCTTTACTCTGCAGAGGAAACAGAGCTCTGTTGTTTATTGGATATGA